AACCTTTTGCCTTACCTCCTATTACAAGCTTTCAGTACAGATAATAGGACCCTAAAATTCCTTTCTTTTTTTTCTTTTTAAAAAAACTTTTTAGTGGGGGGGAGGGGGGCGGCTGGAGCAATAGCACAGTGGGTAGGGCATTTGCCTTGCACATGGCCGACGCAAGTTCAATTCCCAGCATCCCATACGGTCCCCCAGGCACCGCCAGGAGTAATTCCTGAGTGCAGAGCCAGGAGTAACCCCTGTGCATCGCTGGGTGTGACTCAAAAAAGAAAAAATAAAAGAAAAAAAGAAAGAAAATGATGTGATCCTAAATGAGAACCACAAAGTGACAGGATACAAAATTAATTAAAAAACCACTGCGTTTCTAAAAGGCAGCAAAGAACAAATAGAAATGAAAGAATGAAATGAATTGTCATCTATAAGAGCACTGAAAAATTACTTACTTGAAAGGGGGCAGGGGTTTTGCTGGGCCATTTCTGATGGCACTCAAAGGATACTCTTGGCTCTGTGCTCAGGGATCATTTCCGGCAGTGCTCAGGGGCCCATGTGGTGTCTTGGAAAGATATTTGATGTCTAAGACCTTTACAGTGGATGCTGCAATAAACTAAAACCAAGACAGCTCAAGAGTGGAGGATTGGAGTAGGGAGAGAGAAAATGGCTCTAGGGGCTGGAACACATGCTTTGAGCGAGGGTACCCCAAAGTTTAGTCTGTTGCACTAAGCTATCCCCTAAGCACCACCAGGAGTGAACCATGAGCACAGAGTCAAGAGTAGCCCAGGAGCACCACTGGGTGCGGTCCACAAACAAACAAAAAGTAATATAGAATAAAATAATAAAACACTACTGAGAGCAATTAAAATATACCTTTCTTGGCTCTGAGATACCATATTAAAAATGTGCACTGCTATTCACAATAGACAGGATCTGGAAACAACCTAAGTGCCCGAGAACAGATGACTGGTTAAAGAAACTTTGATACATCGGGGCTGGAGCAAAAGCACAGAGGGTAGGGCATTTACTTTGCACGTGGCTGACCTGGGTTCGAGGGTTCAATTCCCAGCATCCTATATGGTCCTCTGAGTACCGTCTGGAGTGATTCCTGAGTGCAAAGCCAGGAGTAACCCCTGTGCATCGCCGGGTATGACCCGAAAACAACAACAACAAAAAAAAAACAAAAACTTTGGTACATCTAGACAATGGAATACTATGCAGCTGTTAGGAAAGATGAAGTCATGAAATTTGCTTCAAGTGAAGTGAGTCAGAAAGAGAGGAACAGAAATAGAAGGACCACACTCATTTGTGAATATAAAATAACAATTAGAGACTGACACCCAAAGACAGTAGACAGACACAAGGGCCAGGAAGATTGCTCCACTGTTGGAAGCCTGCCTCATGAGCTGGGGGAGAGGGCAGCTGAGGTAGAGAAGGGACCACAAAGTCAATGATGGTCAGAGGGATTGTTCGGGATGGGAGATGTGTGCTGAAAGTAGAAAAAGGATCAAGTGTGACAGCTTTTTAGTATCTGTATTGCAAACCAGAATGCCCAAAAGGAGAGAGAGTATGGGGAAATTGTCTGCCATAGAGGCAGGGGGAGGTTTGGGACGCGGAGGGGTGTTACTAGGGACACTGGTGGTGGAGAATGTACACTGGTGGAGAGATGGTTGTTCAATTACTGTGTGACTGAAACTCAAACATGAAAGCTTTGTAATTGTATCTCACGGTTATTCAATAAATCAATAAATAAATAAACAAAAATGTGCACTTGGTGGATGGATGGGTGCTCGATCATTGTGTGACTGAAACTTAATCATAAAAGTTTGTAACTGTAGCTCACAGTGATTCAATTAAAAAAATTAAAAAAGTAAAAAGAGTGATGGAACCAGACTATTGATGGACATTTAAGTTTAAGTGTCCAGGCAAATCTCTGGTACCTTCTCTAGAGAGTGTTCTGCCAAAAATTGTTGCCAAATGAATGTTCTCAATGAATACCTCAGCAATATAGGAGAAGGAAGGTTCTCAGATAAAATAAAATACTTGATTTTGGGAAAAAAAAAAAAGGATCACTTCTGGATCTGGAGCGGTAGTACAACAGTAAAGGCATTTGCCTGGCATGCAGTCAATCCAGGTTCAATCCCCAGAATCCCGCGTGATCCCCTAAGCAACCAGGAGTAATTCCTAAGTGCTGAGCCAGGAGTAACCCCTGAGCATCACCAGGTATGATCCAAAAAGGCACCCCACCAAAGAAGAGCAAAACAAAAAAAATCACTTGTACACAAATTAATTTAAAAGTTCAATCTCACCCTAATCAAAGTTTCAACTGCTTCTAAACCTGAAAAACTAAAAGAAGAGTGAAATAGAAAAAGCAATGTTGGAGGACTAACACTATTTGATGTCAAGTCTTCCAAAGAGAGTAAACTTGAAGTCACAGCAATCGAGACTGTGTGGTCATGGTATGAAGCAGACAATTGACCAAAGGGTCTGGATTCAGAGCCCATAAACAGACGCTATTTCCATGAACAAATGACTTGCAACAATAGTGAAAGCCAGTGCAGGGAGGCAACAGTCTCCGACAATGATGAGTATGATTCACACACTGCTTTACATACAAAAATTGCCTCCTTGATCACAGAACTAAATATATAACCAGAAGCCAGATAATCTCATCTACGGCCACGATCTAGAGACTCACTGCCTTTCTCTCTCAGAGAACATAAAATGATTTGCCAAATCCATGCTACCAGACCTCACACCAGGCTGTTTCATTCGGGGCACCCTGGAGGGGGTGGGTGAAGCCCATCCCTGCCCCAGGGAACTCAGCCCCGGCAGTCAAAATCCTCCAGAATTCAACCACCACAGTGCTCAGGTTGAGCCTCACCCATGAGTGAACCTATGCCTGGACATCTCATACCTCTCACCACTCATACTCCAAGAGTAGCACACCACATTTGATGGGGTTTAAAGCAGAAGGCAGCCAATCTTAGGGGTAAATATATATATATAGTCTCAACCTTTAACAACATGTTCGTAATCTGTTACAGAAGGGCTTAATGTTACAGAAGGGCTTAATGGTTCCTGGGTGAAATACAACAATCTTCACACACTCTCCTCTAAGGAAACTTTTTGGGAGCATTTTCAGTGGTTTATTCATAACAAACACTATAAAATAAATTATTTCGGTTCTGCTTTCGGGCAGGGATTGGGGTTTGAGATGGAAACATCTAAAATATGGTGGTGGGAAGGTGTAATGGTGGTGGGATTGGTGTTCAAATATTAAATGTAATCAAATATTGTGAACTACTTTATAAAAATAAAATAAAATTTAAATATATATATATATCTCCAGAAATTTTGAACCATGTAGGAAACATAAAACATCCTATAGTCATGGAGAAAGCAAAGATCTATCCAACAGGACACAAAAAAACATATGCATAAAAGGAAATATGAACAATAGAATATTATGAAAATGAAAATGTGTTCTTTGAAAGGCATGATAAAGAATATTAAAAAAAGACATAGAAATAACATATATTATGTGCAAATGGGATTATGCATATCTGATAAAGGATCTGCATTCAGAATCTGGGGTGGGAGAGTTGGGTTATACCCATTGCAGTCAGGGATTACTCCTAGATCTATGCTCAGGGGTCACGACATTGCTCAGGGAATGGTGGTGAGAAAATCTGAGCAAAACATAATGCCCAAAACTCTCTAGTATTGGGGAAATTGCCACAGAGGCAGTTTGAGGACTGGGATGGGGTGGGGGAAACTGGGGACACTGGTAGTGGAGAATGTGCAGCTGGTGGAGGAATGAGTGTTCAATCATTGTATGGCTGAAACTCAGTCACGAAAGCTTTGTAACTATATCTCACTATATAACTATTTTAAAAATTAAAAAAGAAAAATAAAAAAGATAATCGTACTGATTGAAAGGCAGGCAGTTAAGAGCACCCACAGGATGATTTTATCCACATACACTTTTCCCAAAAGCCAACCCTTCCGCAGAGATAGGATCAGACACCAGCAGAGGATTTCAGATGAAGAGACGCCAAAAGCACAGAACAAAATGCATAAGAAGGCAGCGTCCCATAGCCTGATTCCGGTAAAGGGCTCACAGGAACATCTATCTCCATCTAAACTCATCCAACTGTACCCTTGACAGCGTGTAACCAACAGCTCAATAAAGCTGGTTTATAAAACGTACATTTTAGGGGCTGGAGAGATAGCACAGCAGGTAGGGCGTTTGCCTTGCACGCAGCTGACCCAGGTTCGACTCCCAGCATCCCATATGGTCCCCTGAGCACTGCCAGGAGTAACTCCTAAGTGAAGAGCAAGGAGTAACCCCTGTGCATCACTGAGTGTGACCCAAAAATCAAAAAAAAAAAAAATATATATATATATATAATGTACATTTTAGACCAGAGCAAGAGTCCAGCCCATAGGGTGTTGGCCTTACATGCAGCCAACCTACATTTGATCCTCATGGTCCCCTGAGCTCTGCCAAGAGTGATCCCTGAGCACAGAGTCAGAAATAAGCCCAAGACATAGCCACGTGTGACCCAAACACACACACACACACACACACACAGAGTACATTTTATTAATACCCCAAAACCATCTCATTATATTTCCTCAAAGACCTCTTATAGCCCCGCAGCACAGCAATAAAATGTTTGTGCTAAGACCTGTTGCACAGAATCTACAATAGTAGATTCTATCCTGTCACTAGTATCCCTCAAACAGCAATACCACCGGCTCGCAGGAAAGCTAATGGGTTCTTTTTTTTTCCACTTGAGTGTGAAAACATGCTCTCCTTAGGAGAAGCAATCCCCACCCACCAAGCCAACCCTCTTGCTTGAAAACATTCACATCCCTTCCGCTTGTGGTCCTCCATAGCCCAGAGAAACTTGAAACTTGAAAGTGGTGCTTCTTGCTTCCTGAAGCCCTGACCAGTCGGCCCTGCCTGTCAGACCAGCAGCCTTGGGCCTCTCACTCACCTGGGTCGGCTTGCTGCAGGTGACGCCATGAATCTCCAAGTAGCTGAAAGTCAACTCGAGCTGCAGAGAAATGGGGAAGAACAAAAACGCGAGATGAGAATATTTTATGATTTTTTTTTCTTTTGGAGCAATAGCACAGCAAGTAGGGCATTTGCCTTGCACAAAGCCAACCTGGGTTTGATTCCTCTGGCCCTCCTGGAGAGCCCAGTAAGCTACCAAGAGTATTCCGCCTGCATGGCAGAGCCTGGCAAGCTCACTGTGGTGTATTCGATATGCCAAAAACAGTAACAACAAGTCTCACAATGGAGACGTTACTGGTGCCCTCTCAAGCAAATCAATGAACAACAGGACAGGACGACACTGCTTGCTTTCGGTTCACACCGGGGATAGTCAGGGATTACTCCTGGCTCTGAACTCAGGAATCATTCCTGGTGGTGCTCGGGGGACCATATGGGATGACAGGGATTGAATTGAACTCTGGTCAGCTGTATGCAAGGCAAACGCCCTACCCACTGTGCTATCACTCCGGCCCAAGGGATGATTTTAAACCTGTCATTTGAGGTAAAAACACAGAACCAGGCCAAGAGCAAATAAGAGACTGGGACACCTTCCAAATACAGCTTCAACATCCTCACTCATCCAATGAGATTTGGCCTTGATGAATCAGATTTCAAAAATAACTACTAGAAAGGGCTGATAGGAAACGTCTGAGTCTGGCTTTTAATTTTTCATCCAGGGAGATGCAGCTTTCATTTGGAAGACAGCAGCTCACTGGAGATCTCTCCGGACTCTGAGCTGAGCGGATTTCAGAGCGGATTTCACGGGGCTTCTCAGATGGACCAGGTGTCCCAGTTCCGCCCACTCCAGATGAAACCCTGATGGCCACAAACTTTCAGGAGAAAAACTGAAACTGAACAGGGTCTGAAGACACCAGGCCACATGGCAGCGGAGATGGTTCCTAGCTTCCTGCCTTCCAGACGGCCCCTTCGGGGTCCTGGCTGTCACACCCATGAACTGCCTCCAAGTCATATTTAAGTGCACCCCAGCCTTGATCCAGAGACTCACAAATTAATCTCCAAACGAATTAGCTCCCTACAGAGATGTCTCTGGACCCCAATCATTTACATATTGAGAATTCTAGGAGCATGTGGCCACTTTTGCAGCTGTGTGACCTCTCATGATATTCATAACAAGCAATAGAAAAGAAATGATCTAGAATCTGCCTGTGGCAGGTAGGCTTGAAGGGTGGTGGGAAAATTCGAAATAATGGTGGTAGGAAGGTGCAATGGTGGTGGGATTGGTGTTGAAAATTTGAACATAATCAATTAATGTGAGCAACCTTATGAAAATAAAATTTTAAAAAACCTCATAAATTTTCATCCAGGGATAAATGAAATAGGAAACTTTATATTTGTGTTCTGATCTGTGCTCATTGAGAGGTGAAATGTGTAAATAACCATCTAACTACATATTTTTCCTTCATTTTAGAGTTTTGCCTCAGAAAGTCACATCACAATAAAGAGGAGATACCTTTCCCCTTCGTTGCAAACATCTCCCTCTTTGGGTTACACTTTTTATCATTTAGGAGAATCATCGCCCCTGCAGATGGTCTTTCCATGAAAATTCTAATTTTAAGTGGAATGAGAATTCTAAATTTTCACTTCGCAAAGTCTCATATTGAGCCAGGGAGAGAGTATAAGAATTAAGGCACTGGCTGACCCCAACTGATCCCCAGGATGACCTATGGTCCCATGAGTATGAAGCTCATGGCGAAGTGGAGAGAAAGAGGATTTAGGAAGCTTAAACAGAGCTTAAATAAACTATCCACAGTTAAGTTAAATGGTTTTCTTTCTCTACATGCAAATACATGATTTCTTCCCTTCCTATTTCAATAGCATATGTACCCAGGGTGAGGGATGTAGCTCACTGGTACTTTTTTTTTTAAACTCAGTGATACTTTATACAGAACTTGCCTTATATATGACCCCTTAGCTGATCCCTGGCACCTCCAAACAAAACTATACTGACTCCCCATCCTGTGGTACTCAAGAGATCTGGGGGGTAGGGCCTTGGGGATGTGGGGGAAGGGGTCCCTAAGCTAACTGAGCCGGAAATGCAATGCTAAGGCCCTGCTTGTCAGGAATTATCTATAACCACACAGGTAGCACTTCCAGCCTGCAGCCAGTGATGCTCAAGAAACTATATACTGTATTGCAACCATAATGCCCATAAGTAAAGAGAGCAAGAGGGAAATTGGCTGCCACAGAGGCAGGGGGAAGGGTGGGAAGGGTGGGATGGGGGAATGGAGGGAGGGATACTGTGGACATTGGTGGTGAAAAATGTATACTGGTGGTGGGTTTTCGATCATTGTATGACTGAAACTCAAACATGAAAGTTTTAAACTGTAGCTCAAAGTGATTCAATGGAAGAAAGAAAGAAAAAGAAAGAAAGAGAGAAAGAAGGGAAGGAAGGAAGGAAGGAAGGAAGGAAGGAAGGAAGGAAGGAAGGAAGGGAGGAAGGAAGGAAGAGAGAAACTATATGCTGTCAGGGATCAAGCACCTTAACCCTGGGACTTCTTTTCTGGACCCCTGCAAAACAATTTAAGGGGCTTAAGTTTTCCAGATTAGCAGCTCCCCAATCCTCACCCTGGCCTTTCCACTGTTGTCTGGTTCTTTTCATTTATTTATTTTTGGCTTTTGGGTTCACTAGAATGAGATCCATTTATTATTGGAGCGGCTTGGAATGCCTTCAAGAACGTTGAAGAAATAACTAAAAGGACAAAGAACCTCCAGCTACGAGCACATCTCTTTGATTCCACTGTTCTTCCTGCATTAACATATGCCTCAGAGACCTGGACCCTACGAAAACAGGATGAGAACGCTATTCGGGTCTCTCAAAGAGGAATCGAAAGAGCTATGCTTGGAATATCACGATTCACTCAAATGAGAGATAGAATCCGGAGTTCTGATCTTCGTCAACGCTCAAGAATCAGGGACGCTGTCTCATTTGCCAAGACATCAAAAATCAAATGGGCTGGACACGTAATGAGGTTTACAGACAACCGCTGGACTAGAGCCATTACTGACTGGATTCCACGGGACATCAAAAGATCACGTGGACGCCCACCTACAAGATGGTCAGACTTCTTCGTCAAGACCCTGAATGATCGGTTTGAGGCTCTGCATGTTCCTAGAACGAACAGATACCATTGGGCTACACTAGCACGCAACCGGGATGAATGGAGACGTTATTGGCACCCGCTCGAGTAAATCGTGCAAGGCAAATGCCCTCTCCTCTGTGCTATTGCTCCAGTGGGCTGGGGGATCAAGATCCGGAGCCAGAGCCAGGAAAGAGGGGTTCCAGACTGGGGCCTGGGAGAGAAGAGAGAGAGAAAGAGAGCGAGGAGTGAACGGGGATGAGAATGGAATAAATGGCATCTTGGCCCTCATCTCCTCTGCCATCTGCCCCTTAACCCGGGCCACCCCAGGCACCCAAGAACCTGGGCCGCCAGGGGAAGAACAGTCGGGGCCATCCCCTGGCCGCCCTCAGAGTTTTTTACACTGGAGGTATCTCAGTTCCCAGAGAAGGGCTGAAAACGTACATTCAGGCAGAAGAAAAAGAATGGGCAAAGAGCAAAAGCATCAAAAAGGAAACCTAAGTCATCTGCAGAGCCAAGTTATACACTGCTGAACTTGGAATATAATCACCCCTCCTCACCCGCCAAGTACATGTCCCTCCCTGATGTTCTGATTCTTGGCTGTGGCACAGCAAACCCACCCTGTCATATCCGAAGACCCACAGCCGCTCACCCACGGAGAAGGTCTGCCTGTCTTTACTTGCGATAATATCAGCAATCAGAGCCCAGGTCCAAATTACTCCGCCAAGCGAATGTGAAACATTGCACATGTCACACACAGTGTTCGGGCCCTGGGTGAAGGCTGGGAGGGGCGGGAGAGAGAGGACAGGCCAGCAGCACGGGGCAGGGGGCTTGGCCTGGGGTAATGCGCCTTCTCCGCATTCACTCTAACTCAGCGGGCGGCATGTGATTTACTCAGGTGCACGGGAACTCCTTCTGCGACTCATTTTTCACCAGTGGGAATATGGTTAATTCATGCCCTAATAGTCTGCCATCGGGTACTTTAATGTATCGGTAATTTGGTCAAACACTGATTACATAATAATTGATCTCATTTATAACACGGTAGCAAACCCCCTCTACCTTCTCTTCTATCGAAAGGGATGGAGCCCAAGAGTCTTGTCTTACAGAAACATGATCAAAGGCAGCATTTGTTTGCTCGGAGAGGTTAAAAAAAAAAGGAAGCAGGTCTCTTAAAGCTCCGAGGAGCACAGAAAAGGAGCCTAACGTCACGATGTACAGAGGAAGCCAGGCAAACTGCCAGATTGCAAGCCAATAATCCATTCCTTCCTGCTCCGTGGGTGGCATGTCAGTGGAGATTCATGAAACAGCGGCAAAGGCTTGGAGTGTAAGAAGAACGGCTATAGAAAGTAAGAGCAGGAGCTGGAGCGATAGCACAGCGGGTAAGGCGTTTGCCTTGCATGTGGCCGACACAAGTTCGATTCCCAGCATTCCATATGGTTCCCCCGAGCACCGCCAGGAGTAATTCCTGAGTGCAGAGACAGGAGTAACCCCTCAGCACCACCGGGTATGACCCAAAGAGTTTTAAAAAAATAAAGAAAAAAAAGAAAGTGAGAGCATAACGCCACACCCCAATGTCATCGCCCAGGAAGGAGAGTCTTCTCCTAACGCTCGCCCTGCGGGGGTGTAAGGAAGTGGGGGAGTAATGCAGTTTAGTAAAAGCAGGAAGAGGCAAAACATAGTAAAGCAGATCCTTCTCCAGTTCCTCCTGAATCCTGGCAAGACAATGATGCATTCTTTGAACTCTCTCCTCCCTTCCTTCTTTCTTTCCTTCCCTTTCCTCCTTCCCACTCCTTCCGGTCCTCCTTCTCGGTTTCCGTCTTTCCCTTCCCACCTTTCTCCTTACCCTGTCCCTTCCCGTCAGGGGCTGAATTAAGGACATGCCTATAAGACATGGTTCTCATCTACCAAGACGGGACCGCATCACAGATGAGTCTCAGAAGGAAATCTGATTTACTCAATCAATGCTTGGTAAATGTACTTGGTAAATCTATTTAGGGGAAGGTCCTAACTTTTTGTTACCATCCAAACCATAGCCTATAAAATAGGTCTGGCTGCGCGATACTTCAAACCACACACCCTACCCATACTCCAAGATTACTGCACCACATTTGATAAGGTTCAAAGTAGGAGGCAAACGATCTTAGAGGGGAAAAAAGAATACACACACACACACACACACAATTAAAAGTCAAACACTGTCCTCCCATTTTTCATAGATTTGCTCGAGCGGGCCCAGTAACATCTCCATTGTGAGTCTTCTTGTTACTGTGTTTGGCATATTGAATACTCTCAGTAGCTTGCCAGGCTCTCCGAGAGGAGCGGAGGAATCGAACCCAGCTCAGCCTGGCTGGCTGTGTGCAAGGCAAATGCCCTACCGCTGTGCTATCACTCCAGCCCATAATACATACACACACACACACACACACACACACACACACACATAGCACACAAGGCTCAACCTTTAACAACATGTTAGTGATCTCTTATAGAAGGGCTTAATGGCCCCTGGGTGAAATACAACAATCTCCACACCCTTTCCTCTAAGGATACTTTTTTATAGCATTTTCAGCAGTTTTTCATAACAAAAAATACAAAATATATTATTTCTCTTCTGCTTTGGGGCAGGGACTAGGGTTCAGGATGGAAACATCCGAAATTTGGTGGTGGAAAGGTGTCATGGTGGAATTGGTATCTGAATACTAAATGTAATCAAATATCGTGAACTATTTTATAAAATAAAAAAAATAGGTCCGCATCTTTCCATGACATAAGGTAATGGAGGCACCTGATGAAAAGGCTCAGCGGGACAAAGAGACGCCCCACGCGAGTGTGTGGGGCGGGCCACGCCACTGCAGTTGGGTGCCGCAGTCTTCAGAGTAATGGAGGTCATTTCCCGCATGTCAGCATTCTAGAAAAATCTGCCATGACTGGGCCCGAAGGAAATGAGAACGAGGCTTCAAGACAGTGGAAACCACGGCCCGGCCGAGACGGGAAAAATGACTGGAATCCACGAGCCCCGGGTGCTGGGGAAGAAAACCGCTGCCCCCGCAGCGCTGGGCTGCCCGAGTGCGGGAACAAAGGAGCCACAGCGACCCGAATCGCCCCGTTACTGAGCGTTACTGAGCTTTCAGGAAGGAGGGTGTGTGTGTGGGGGGGGGGGGGGGGGGGTGGTGGCGCGAGAGGACTCCGGACATGCCTTCACAGAGCAAGTCTGCATATTGGGGCAGAAAGAGCGAGAGGCAGAGATGGGGCAGAGAGATAGAGAAGCACACAGAGAAACAGAGACAGAGACAGAGAAGCACGCGCGCGCACACACACACACATAGAGAAACACACACAAACAGACGAGAGAAGCAGACAGAGAGAGAGACAGACAGACAGACAGACAGAGAGAAAAACAGAGAGAGACAGAGAAACAGACAGAGAGAGAAAAGCACACATACAGAGACAGAGAAACAGAGACAGAGACAGAGAAGTGCGCGCGCGCGCACACACACACACACACACACACAAACACACACAGAGACAAAGAAATAGAGACAGAGAGAAGCACACAGAGAGAGAGAGAGAGAAACAGAGACAGAGACAGAGAAAAACAAAGACAGAGAGAGAAAAGCACACACACAGAGACAGAGAAACAGAGACAGAAGAGACAGAGAAAGAGATCGAGATAGGCAGACAGAGAACACAGACACAAAGACAGAGAGAGACAGAGAGAGAGAAACAGAGACAGAAGCAGAGAGAGAGAGAGAAGCACATACAGAGAGAAAAACAGAGATAAAGAGAGAGAGAGAGAGACAAGAAGACAGTCAGAGAGACAGAGACAGAGGTAGAGACACACAGAGAAGGGGAGATACAGAGAAACAGAGAAACAGAACGAGACAGAGACAGACAGAGAGACAGAGATAGGGGAGATACAAAGACAGAGAGACAGAAACAGAGACAGAGAGATAAAACAGAAACAGAGAGAAAGACAGAGACAGACACAGACACACACACGCACGCACGCGCGCGCGCACACACACACACACACACACACACACACACACACACACACACGGGGCAGGGTGTCTCACGTACCTTGGTGGGGATTCGTGCTGTCAAGAGGAAGGCACGGCATGACGTCAGCACCTGGAAGACAGAAACAGCAACGTCAGGAAGTCCCCGCAGGTGGGCCTGGTGGCCTTGGGCGTATTTGAAGGCCCTCAGAACTTTAATGATTTTTTTCAGCTTTTTCACACCTCAGGCTGCTCAGGGGATCATACTGGGTGTCAGGGATTCAAACTGGGGGGTCTGGGGAATGCCAGCGCCTTGAGCCCTGGACTGACTCTCTCCAGCCCTGGGCTTAAGCGAGACTGAAAACGTTCAAGAGAAGTCACGCTTGGTCCTGGGGTGGAAGAGGAAGCGAATCTGGAGTCCCTCTGCCTTGGAGAAATTGTTGTACTCAGGAGTCACTGTATGAAGGGTCACAGGACAGGGCTCAAGATGAGCAGCCGGGCATAGCCATGCCACTGGACCCCGCACTAGGTTGTTTCAAAGGGGGGAACCCCGGAGTGGGGTGGTTGGGAGCCCTCCCTGTCCCAAGGGACCCAGCCCCGGCAGCCAAGACCCTCCAGAACCCACGCACGAGTGAACCTATTCCTGGGCACATCGTAAGACACAACCTACCCGTTCTTCAAGAGTACCACACCACATTTGATGGGGCTCATATAGTAGGCAACCAATCATAGAGGGAAATATATACATACGTATTTACAGATATATATATACAAATATATATATAAAAGTTCAAAAGGCTCAACCTTTAACAACATGTTAGTGCTATCTTATAGAAGGTCTTAATGGTCCCTGCCAAACTAGAACAATCTTCTCACTCTTTCCTCTATGAATACTTTTTTGTAGCATTTTCACCAGGCTGGAGCGATAGCACAGCAGGTAGGGCATTTGCCTTGCATGCAACCAACCCGGCTGACCCGAGTTCAACTCTTCCACCCCTCTCGGAGAACCCGGCAAGCTACCGAGAGTATCTCACCCACTCCGCAGAGCCTGGCAAGCTACCGTGACGTATTCAATATGCCAAACACAGTAACAATGAAGTCTCACAATGGAGACGTTACTGGGCCCGCGCGAGCAAATCAATGAATAACGGGAGGACAGTGGTACAGTGCTATAGCATTTGCACCGATTCCTTCAACCATTATTATTGAACCCGCACTGGCTCTTCGGGCCTGTGGCTCTGGCCTCTGTGTCCATATTGGCAGAGAGGGAGTGAGGTCCTCCTGCCACAAATCTGCCCCACACACAGATGGGTGTTGACCCACCACTTCAGCTGGAAAACCACAAATAAAACCACAAGTATCAGAGCCTAGGAAAGTTCCAGAAACATACCATCTCCATCCCTGCTACCTTCTCCCCTAGCACATGAGGCAGGCTTCCGACTACAGAGCAATCTTCCTAGCCCTTGTCTCTACTATCCTTGGGTGTCAGTAGAGGCATGTTTCAAGGGACTCAGGCAGACTCGGTCTTCGGCACTCCAAGCCCTACCAAAAGGGACCCTGAGCACAGAGTCAGAAGTAAGCCCTGGGCACCACCAGGGGTGGACCAAAAATAATAAGCCAAAAAAAAAAATTTTTTTTTTAATTAAAAAAGCCCAGGATAGCTTAGTGGCTGAGCACCTGTCTTGAGGTCATGAGTTCAATCCCCAGTGCGGCCCACATGTGCTCAGTGGGGGCAGTCACAGTCTCTCTGCTACTTGGGACCCCCAAGTATCACAGCAAGAGGTGCGATTCCTGGTCCATCCCAGTCAGGTGCATGTGAGAACCACAGCGAACACACATGACGGCCCTACCTTGGGGAGAATCATGGGGGTGGAGGGGGATATGGTACCAGGGGTTGGGCTCAGGGTCTCGTGCACAAACACTCCAGCCCTTTCACCACTCCCTGGCCCAAGGCAGCACACAAATGTCTCTCTTCTGGCTGTATCTGCAGGGCCACCTCCCCGTCTACAAGACCCCGGCAGAGCTGAAATAACAGCCTCACCCTAAGCTTCACCACCCAGGAAGGATTTAAACGCAGAAAGTGGAGAGCTGGAGTTTCTCATCTGAGAGTATGTTCAGGGAAGCATTTCCTCCCGCTGAGCTCACCAAGCTGGACCCTGAGCCACTGTCCCCTTTGCACGTTCCGGGATCTATGGCTCTTTCCTGAAACTAGCCACAAGGAAAAAATTAAGTTCAAGGCCCAGAGTCCCAGATGGGGACATGTCACCTCTGCAGAATGCCCAAATCTATTCAGCCGAGAACATTCCATCTTAGGGGAAACTGGGCCTGCAGCCTTTCGCAGACACCGCAGTGGCAACAGCCACTAACTTGTCCAACAAGCTAGCAGACGTTATCTCCTTCAGAGCTAAGAGACCCTCCGGAGTAATCAGCAGCGCGATCCCCACTTAAAAACGAAGAACCTTGGGCTGGAGCGATAGCACAGCAGGTAGGGCGTTTTCCTTGCACGTGGCCAACCCGGGTTTGATTCCCAGTATCCCACATGGTCCCCTGAGCACCTCCAGGGATAATTCCTGAGTGCAGAGCCAGGAGTAACCCCTGTGCATCACCGGGTGTGACCCAAAAAGAAAAAAAAAGATATCTAAAAATGAAGAACCGGAGGCTCAGGGAGATGATGCAACTTGCTCAGGAACACGGCCGCCGGAAGCGGTGCTGGGACGGGAACCCAGGTAGGCCAGCTCCTAAGAGTTTCCCTGATGGCCGATCTCCTGCTCCAAGTCTGTCACAGGCCAGGAGGAAGCATCACGGGACTTCCATGCCAGGGGGAAGCAAGCGGGGAAGGGACCTGGGTGGGACAAGAGGTGCTGGGAGCATAAGAACACAGGCCAGGCCCTGCACACCTGTCACCGTTGTCATCTATGTGTCTGTGTATGCGTATATGTGCATGAGTGTGTATGTGAGCACATGTATATGTGTGTATGTGTATGTGCATTTGTGTATGTGCATGTGTGATGTGTGTATGTGCATGTATGTGTATGTGCATGTGTATATATGAGTGTGAGTGTGCATGTGTGATGTGTGTGCATATGGTACATGTGTGTATGTATGTGTCACAGTCACGGTCCTCCCGTTGTTCATCAATTTGCTCGAGCGGGCCCAGTAACGTCTCCATCATGAGACTTGTTGTTACTGTGTTTGGCATATCGAATACGTCACGGGGAGCTTGCCAGGCTCTGCCGTGCGGGCGAGATACTCTCGGTAGCTTGCTGGGCTCTCCGAGAGGGGCGGAGGAATCGAACTCGGGTCGGCCATGTTGGCTGCATGCAAGGCAAATGCCTTACCTGCTGTATGTATGTGTATGTGTGCATATATGTATATGTGTGATTGTGTGTATATGTATGTGCATGTGGCAAATGTATGTATATGTGCATGTGTATGTATATGCATGTGTGTATGTGTGTGTGCATGTGTATGTGTGTATGTGCATATGTGTATGTGAGTGTGTGCATGTGTGTGTCATATATTTGTCTCTGTCTCTGCTCTGGCACGTGCCATCTCCCGGTCTACCCATGTCTCTCTCTCCTGCTCCCCCGCTGTCCCTCCTCCCTCCTCTGTCCCTGCCTCCACGCTAGCCCGCGCTTCCCAGGGCCCCTCTCCGCTCTTCACTAGCAAACTGCAGTGTCAGTTCTGCCCGAGGCCTGGCAGCAGCCGTCAGGGAAGAAAGAATTGCATTCTGGAAGCCGAGCCCGCGCCACACAGCCACAGTCGAACTCGAACAAAACACAAAACACAAGTGACAAGCCACCCTTGACATGATTAGACAGCGAGCACGCGGGTAATTAGGTGACGGCGAGGTCCCCTGTGCAGCTCTAATTAGTGAGTGCTAGAGACTGTCACCATCAGGAACCCGGACACCTGACAGGCAGCCACCAGCGCCAGCACAGAGCCGGCCAAAGAGAAGCGTCCCCCGGGGAAGCACCTCCTGCTGCCCTTCTCCCCTCCGGCTCGTCCTCTTGTGACCAATCGTCATCTTGGAGCGTTTCCGAGAGTTGCTGTTTCTTAGAGTACTAACTGGGCCAGGGCTTTAAAAACAAAAAATGTTTTTAATTGAATCACATTGAGATACACAGTTACAGTTGTTTATGACTGCGTTTCAGTCATAAAATGTCCCAACACCTGTTCCATCAGGGGCCACAGTTTCCCTCCAGGCCCCCCCACCTGCCTCCCTGCCTCTGTGGCATCTCTCTCTCTCTCTCTCTCTCTCTCTCTCTCTCTCTCATACTCCCCCTCTCCCTCTCCCCTTTTAGGCATTGTGGTTTGCAATACAGATACTGAAAGGTCATGTCCATCCCTTTGCCTACTATTAACACTCAGTTCCTGTCCAGACTGATCATTTCTGTCACTGTCATACTGGTCCCTTCTCCGTCCTAACTGCCCTTTGTCCCCCCACACCCCCACCCACCCACACACGCTTGTGGCAAGCTTCCAACCACTGACCAGTCCTCCTGACCCCCTGTTTTTCGGCCAAAGCATTTTTAATTTTACTTAATTTATTTTGGTTGCTTCTTGGGGTGGGGGGCACCTCCTAAGGGTTTACTTCTGGCTCTGTGCTCAGGAGTGACCCCGGCTATGCTTGGGGTGACCCTATGCAGTACTGGGGTTCAAACAAGGTTCAGCTTCGTGCAAAGTATGTGCCTCACCTTTGCAGCACCTTTCAGGTACCAGGACTTTTTTTTTTTTAATGAGGGGATATGCTCCCCCCAACCCTCCCCACAGACCCACCCTCCCACTCAAGAACAGCCATTCGGCCAGCGTAGACCTCTGCATTCCTCCTGGCAACTGGTTCGCACCTACTCAGCTCCCAACCTGGAAGGCAAGTTCATTCCCTTCAAATTATCTACAGGCACTGTAAGAATAGAGGTCCTTCAGAACTGGGATTTAAGGCAACAGAACTTGCAGAAGAGGCTGATCCCTGAGGGAGAAGCCCATTCATGAGGGAGAGGCCGGCCATGAGGGAGAGGCCAACCATGAGGGAGAGGCTGATCCATGAGGAAGAGGCCATCCATGAGAGAGAGGCCAATCCATGAGGGAGAGGCCCATTCATGAGGGTGAGGCCAATCATGAAGAAGAGGCCGA